TATTTAGTATGCATACCCCACTAATTAAGTTCTTACAAACAACACTTATGTCAATGACCTTGTGACCTTGACTGTGACCTATATTTTAAAAATAGCTTTTTCGAACTTGACGCCGGGCGCATAGTGTTTCACAAACACATCTTGTTTTATCTTAAGAATGCATTATTTATTTTTAGAACATTTTAAAACATTAGAACATTTATTAGAAATTGTCATCTGATTCTGACAAAAAGTTGGTCCGACTTATAGGCGGGTCAATGGCAAATCCTCGCAAAATAACCGAAAAAAATACAACCGACTTATAGGCGGACCGACTTATAGGCGAGTATATACGGTATGCACTGCAGATTAATTATTTTACCAAATTCCTCAGCCTTGAATTTTCTTCTCCTTGATGTCTATCACCTGATTTGATGCACAAGAGCAATCAATTTTAAACCTAAGCACTGCTGACAAATAAGTTGGTGTAACAAAGGTTAGAACAATAATTTTTAAAGTTGGCAACAATGATTAAAGTAAAGACAAAGAAGCTTCGAAATGGGTTCAATAAAGCTAACAATATTTAAATTAAGTGGTACATCATGTATGTGAAATCAAAGAGATCGATTTAAGTGTGAAAAAAAAGTTATCAGTTTGAAAACTAGTGTGATCAGGTTTTTTTCTATTTGTTGAAATGGAGTCATAGTCTAGCTGCCTTAAATGTGATACATTTTTTATCTGGATTGTTCAAAATTTGAGATCATATTGCATTAATAAGGAAAAGTCGGTCAAGCCGTCTCATTTGATTTTACATTTAAAAAAGTATATGTGTACTAAATTCAATGATGCAATATATTCAGTATAAAGTAAGAGGGCTTTATGTAATTTTATTTACAATCAACTCTGTTGAAATTTGTTTTTAATGAGCTGGATTTTTTAACTAACTTCAAGAGTTCTGTAAACCCTGATTGAACATTCAGAATGCAGTTAATAGCGTGAATAAGGAGTTCTAAAAATAAATAAGTTATGGCGCTTAACACAGTAGGATATGTTTTTATTTGTGTTCTTTTGTAATTAAGATGTATAAAAAATATAATTTACCCTTTATGTTTGATTGCATGCAAATATGATTATGTGCACTTTTGGGGGAATGAGAAGTCTGGATTTAAATCTTGCAAATGAACCCAAGATCCTAAATTAATGCAGCTCTTTTTTTATATTCTGCGTCTTTATTGGCAAGGGAAATGGGTTAAAGTATATGAGCTGAATATTTTTTAAAGTGCTAGCGATTCATCAACTTCTACAAAGTTGATGATAATTAGATTAAAGCTTTTCAGATTCGACATTACACAACATTACACCTAGGTTTAGACATTTTTCTGCTCAGACCTATCGAGTTTGCCTTTGCTAGAGTTAGGTACTCAGGTGAATAACTTCTTGATCCCTTTAATTGTTTACTTCTCTCAGAAAATGTTGAGATGTTTTAATGGATTTTGTCTTTTTGAGCCTTAAAAAAAGATTGGCAAGTGAAGCATTTACTGATGGTTTCTAAAAGCTTTAATTTAATCATTACTTTTATAGGTAAATGTTTTGATATATGAGAAATGAACATGCAAATTTAGGCTCTCATTAAAAAAGTTTAAAAGTTTTACTTTAACATTGCATGAGTATTAATCTTATTGAGATGGTTTCAAGAAGATAAATACTGAAAGATCATGGATTAAAATTTAAAATTCTCAAAGAATATACTGGGAGAATGATAATTAAGAATTAATAACATCAGTCATATTTAATTCAGTATAGTTTAAATTTCAATTTTTTGGCTTTACTGGCAAACTACAATGGGGCCCATTCGATGAAATAAAATTTTGAAAGAAATAACTTGTTCAATATGTACATTCTGTTTTAAGTAGAATATACTGTGAGGTTATTCAGTGTGTTGGACTATAGCAGCAGTGGAATTCTTGATTATGAACAAATATACTAACTTCCTTGTGTGTTTCAATCTAGTGACCTTAAGATGTCTGTTCTGAAACTGATATAGGATCACATCTGAAAGGCTATAAGATAATACAGTCCCACTTGTCTAATTGCTGAAATCTTGCCTATTTTGATGAAAACTTGTGAGTCCCTTCTTTGGATTGCTGTCTTTATTCAGAATATTGTTTGATCAGGCAAATTTGTATATAATTTTTTTTTTTTATGAAAAATTTCCCAAATTTTACTACACTACTTTTTAATTAAGATTTTTTGTGAGTCACTAAGTATTTGATGGTGAATTGTTGTTCAAAGTTTATCATATATATGACGAATAGACAAAGTGATTATTTATCAATTAATGTTCAATCCCACATAGGATATTAACAATCTATTGGAAATGAAGTTTTATTGTGACAATTGATGCAGCAATTAATTTATAGAAGTGTTAATTATTATTTGTATGTAATAAAATAACCCCCTTTCTCTTAACCAGTAAATAATCTTGACTTAATACTAATTCGCAAATAACTTATTATTTGAAGTAAGTGCTTGAAGGTGATCAAATGCTGCAAACTTCTGCAAACTGTTTAAAACAGGGAGTGCAGTGCTACATGGTAAAAATCTCTTCTGTAATCAACACGGGGTTGTTGACATGTAAAAATGTATGTATATAATACCTACGTGAATTTGTACACACAATCAAACCTCATTTATCACATACTTAGTGGAACTGAGGAAAAAAATTGAAAGATATTCAAGTATAATTTGAGATATCCCCTGTGAAACACTAAAAGATTTTTTAAGTGGTTTGGACTTCCATTTCACTTAGACATATCCATAGTATTCAAGACATCAGTGGGTTCAAGATAGTGAGGATCAACTGTACATATATAAATAGTTATATATCATACACTATATAAAAAAAGGTACATCATGACTTTATGTAATGAACAGATTAATAACAAACAGCACCAGAAGTACTTGTAATCAACACAGATGGGGTTTTTTTTGGGGGGGGGGGGGGGGGGGGGGGGGGGCAGTTGTCTGATTCATTAAGGTTAAATCTGCAGCTTTTCTGATTTAATTGTGCTAGAAATTATGTCTGTTGGCCTAAATTATAAGCTTCAATATTTTGGTTAAAAAATTAACAATGATCATTGCTTTACTTTAGAATATTGCAATTTAAAAAAAATAGGTTTTAGCTACATATTACTCACTGGGATTTTCCCCTTTGTTCAGTGAGGAACAATGTGAATGTCTCGGTTATACTCTGTGTATATTATCTTCTTTAACTCAAGTGGAAACTTATAAATAAAAGTGAATTTGAATTGAAGATGACATGTTTTGCTTCAGCAGTGTTCTAAGAATACTTGTTGTATGGCATTGCTAATTGACTTCATAGCCATCACTGTAAGTGGAAGAAAGGAATGAAATTGTTCATTCAGGTCGTGCTTATTTTGATGGTCAAGTAAATTATATATACATTTAAAACAGCAGTCTAGCTTTTGGCTGACCAGCACCATGATATTCCACATGTAACAGGTGACTGATTTAAAAGCGTTCCTTAACGACCCTCATAAATAAATGAAGAGGCTTCATTGCTGTATATGTATAGACTTGAGTTGACATGCATTATTCACAGGTCTACAGGCACCTGCTACATACTGAAGACTTCTCCAAATCACAGATTTAGATTTACAGTGTGACATATTGACCAATTTATTTGTAACATATTTTTATAAATTAAAGTATCAATTTTTTTGGTTTCATCTTTTTTCACATAAGTATATCAGATCTACCTAGTAAAATACCCAATTTGATAAATTGGTAATAGGACATGGCTTTGCTATAAAATTATCATAAAGGATGACAGGGGTTAATTTATTCACCACAGAAAGATTTTTTTATATATTGGATGTATGTTTGTGATATTTATGAAGAGTTATTTATGTATTAAGAAGAAAACAGAATCCATATTCAGCTTCAGAGGAATATGAAATTTTGAACAGACTTTTTTTTTTTTTTAATTTCATATTATATATTTTGACCGGTGAGGGAAAAATTTTGTAGCCATAATTGCAGACATGCATTTAGTAATCTCATTTCATTATATGATTCAGAAACTGTTTTGATTTTAAGTGTCCATGAATAACATACCCTGTTATAATATTAATTGGTATTTTAAAATATTTTTCATTGATTATTGCATGACCACAATAAAATGAATGTTCGAATAAAAAGAATCTTATGGTCAAATTAAACAGAAACTATTGGTAATATTCTTCATTGAGTATAAGCAGATATGATCTGTCTGCAATCTGAATAAAAGAAAAAATGAATGCAATAGTATGTGATGGAGCTGCACTTGGAATATTTTTTTTAAAGATCAGAAATTTTGTCTTTAGATGTTGATAAATATTTCAAGTAAAGAAACTCACTGTATAAAAAGTGGATCCATTTCACATTTTTTTTCCTAAATGAGTTCCTTCAAAATGATTTATTTCAACCATTCATATACCCACCCACAATCTATAATTTCAACAAAAGTACAAGTCAGTTTAATGTTCATTTAACATATTTTAAATTGCATATTTATTTATGCAAAACATTACTAATGGTAATTGATGGATAAAGTGGCACTTTATTAATTAAGAGACCAAAGGTACAAGTCAACCCAGAAAATAACCTACAGTATATATATATCCATCATTTCAATGAGATCCCATTGGCATCAAGTGTTTTGTCAGAAAATTGACAAGGATCTGCATATTTAAACACTGAATAAGGGCAATTTAAATTAATATGCTGATATCATTCTGGGAGTACATTTGACTCCCAAACAATAAGATCCACAAAGGCTATAAAGTTTATCAGCAGTCATTGTCAGTTTTATAAAGAGGGAAGTAATGAAAATTAAAAAGCAGTTATTCAAGGGTGGTTTACATCTGATACTATCTTCGTTTCCTAATAAGCCACAAAGTGCATGTCTAATTTAATTTCACAGCAAGGTATTTGATTGTTGTTCTTTTTTTCTGTTTCAGTATCTTTATGATGATTCCTCTGTGAAGATGGATCTCAGGTATGTTATAAACACACACACTCAGAGAGAGAGAGAGAGAAAGAGAGATTGTAACAAAAGGGAGATAAATGCAATTTAGAATTAAGAAAAATACCCATTGAGGAAATGGAGTTATCCTTCTTTGCTTTTTTCTCAAGGAAAATAAATTGATCTGTTCATCTTTATCCTCCACTCAGCAAAAATTTAGTTCCTTTTCAGGCTCAATTTACATTCATTGATAATTTCCATATGCCCATAAATATATCTGCATTCAGATCTAATTTGATAGGTAAAAATGGTTTCTTCCTGTTGTCACATACTTGACAACTATTAGTTGACAACTGAGGTCAAATACCTAAGCATCTATTGACAAGTCAAGTTGTTGGTCTGTTTGAGGAAATATATACAGTGAAAAAATCAGAATGAGTCACTTTGGCACATGGACATTTGCGATTGTTTAAAAAAAAACACATACTTTTATTGGAGATGACATAATTTTATGCAGATCTAAGCCAAAATTTTAGTAAAAGATTAAAGATGACAATGTTTTTGGTCTGACTGTTTGTTAATTAATTCATTTATAAAGTACATATCTTATAAATATTATCATAAATAATTATAAACATAATATATTATAATATTATACTTTCATGTAAATTACTTGAATCTGATTCGTCGAGAAACATTTGTTAAAAAACACTATTACCCGCTGAATAAGGAAGCCACGCCCTCCTGCATAGCAACAGTCAACATTGCTTGACGACGAGTGATATTCCAAAAAATAGCGACTGCGCAAAATTTATGCGCGCACGGTTCACTGTTATATGTATTTGTATATAACATTCAGTATAATATAATAAATATTGCATGTAGTTGAGTGTAACATTGAAAATTCTCACCCCTGGAAAACCAGTGTCAACCTCAGCTGCCCCTCGGTTGAAATGGTTTTCTTGGGGTGAAAATTTTCAATGTTACACTCAACTACATGCAATATTTCTATACTGTTAAATCATTTGTGATTTTTGGTGGCTCAATACTTGTGGGTACCTGTCATCCACAAATTAACGTCATGAATCCATAACATATATAGTTACATCATATTTCCTTTTGCAGATAAGAGAATACACCAATTTTAGTGAATTTACTTCCCCCAAGAACCTGTAAAATTTCAGCAATCAAAAATTATTGACAATTTCAATGATTCCATGGTATTATAAAAAATATTGAATATTGATAGTTTGATAAGGCCAAGTAAAACTTTCAAGCTCATAAATGTTTAGATGTGTACATTGTAAATGGTAGACTTGGGAAATCCAGTTTCAAAATAAGGTGAGTACGTAAATGTTATCCCAAACTCAATGGGGCCAAGAAAAAAGTTTTATTTATCAAAGAATTCAAGATATTGAAAGAAAAATGTTGTTGGGACTCCCAGCTCACTCTGACTTGGATTTTCGAGATATCAATGTTCTAGATAATATTCTCTAAAGTTCATTTCTGAGATTTGGATTCATTTACCAAGTCTTTAATACTAGTACGTGACAGTCTTGTTTTTTTTTTTTTAGGTAAAAGTTGTTTAAACCCATTTATGTAGATGTTTCTTTGAGCCTTTATCCGTACAGATACAGTGTAATTTTCATTAATTATTCATTGATTGTCAAAATAAGTTTTGTCTTGTAGATATAAAGACAAAATGATGTAATTATCTTTGTTAATTATTCATCAGAAAAGTTCCTTTCTTTCCCAGGATATGTTATATTTTTAAGCTGGTGTAATTAACAGAATAAAATTGCAACTTGGCGGTTCATTTACAATGCCTATACATAATTTACTAAACAAAAAGTACGTGATAGCCTATTCTTTCACGGAGTTGCCACATATTTCCTCGGAATGAAGTTGAACACGTTTTCATACTAAAACAACTTGTTTATTGGCGACAAAGATCACGGGGAAAATTGTGTTAAGCAGAACGAGGTGATGAATATGTATAAGTCATAATAAGGATAGCAGTGTTTGGACATGTCTGAATCACATCGCGTGTAAGCTGGTTCCTAGCCCAAACTGTCAGCACTTTGAAGCGCTTGTTCTTTGTGATGCATATGAGGGTCATGAACAGGGAACCATACTGCCATTAGTGGCGCGAGGACTCTTGTACCATATGTGTCAAATGTACTGTTCTGTCGTAATTGTTTTTCTTCAAACGGTTCCAATTTTGAGTGACATCATATATGATAATGCCCAAGCTAAGATTTTATTTTTCATTCTAACATTGATATTTGCATGAATATTAAAAAGTTTTTTTTCCCAAATAAATGTGGTTATGGAAGCATTGTTATAAAGGAAAATAATTATCAAAAAAAACTGACTATTCTAGCTATTTTATTACATTGTCTGTAAAAAAGTTGATAAATGCATGTAAAGTCTTGCATAGTGGTGTCAGGTACTTAAATGATTGATGCTTTGCTGGTGATTTAAATGCTTTTTAAAACTATAAAGAGACTTTTTAAGACATTTCTCATGATAAATAAAAAATATATAATATATCTGATATACAATTTTTTGCATACTTATTAAAATTAACCTTTCATGAAGGCTTAATATATGCTGTTTTCTTTTTTGTTTTGTTTTTTTTGTTGAGATATTGCAGTTTTGCTATTTGAGTGATTTCATATTTGCCAAAAAAAAAAAAAATTATAAATATAAGGTCTGTTATAATTAAGCCCTGTGGTATATTGTTCAATTTTTTCCCTATCAAAAAATCCTAAATTTGTGAGTTAATCATTTTAAACCGGTTTAAAAAATTTGCAACTCTATATTTATATATACAGAAGCTGTTAAAAATGATTTCTTTCCATATTTAAGATGTCGAGAAAACATGACAAAACAGTTGTCAATAGCAGTTGATGATAAGGTGATATTTTCTTCAAATCAAGCCAACAGTAAAAAAAAAATGTAAAAAATACAAAGAATGAAAGCACCCGAAATACTCTCTGGGTGAAAAAATCATAGCGGAAAAAATCGGGAACACAGATCTCATGTGTTGCATTTTTAACTTGGATAAAAATCTTCAATAAATGTTGTAAAAAATTATTTGAGTGCTTTGTACTTTTGTAATTTTTGTTTCAAAAAAATTCACTGCTCAAGAATGGAGTAACAAGCCTCAGATAATAAAAGGCATGGCTGTTGCAAAAAAGAACAAAATTAGATTTTTTTGAGAGGGGCTGGGAATTACTTCAACATAGACAAAGATATATATTGAATGCTGGCAAGCTGCAGCAGTAATGACATTTGTTGATGAATGTATTTTATATTACATCAGCATACAGAGAATTCTAAGAATGTTGATTGAATCACTGCATGACTTGCAAAGAGATAAGATTACATCAGAGAAGACCAGAACTACACTAATTGTTAAACATATCTGCCAGCGTCAGAGGCTTTCATGGTCAGTGCTCACCCAATATAAGAGTGCTCAGATAGTTTACTTGGAAGAAAACTTTTTCTCTAATTTTTTTTCTTTACAACATACATATTGCCTCAGTCTAAAAATAACCATTTAAAACTAACTGTTCCCTACTGCTGTGCATTAATCTAGTGCATTTAGACATCTTATAATGTTAAGGGTGAGAAAATTTGTAAAAATGAAGTCAGCAGTGACATTTGAACTCTATAAACCACCGTACTTATATTCTAGCTGACAAAGCATATGAAGCAAAAACAATTTAGAGAGAAATTATGTCTTGATTACCAATTACCAGATTTGAGAATTTTGTTTATGTATAGAAGTATACAATTGACACATGAGGTCATTAGATGATATATTACAAAGCAATACATCTTTCTGGGTTCATTTCCTCTCTGTCTCTCTTTGACAAATCATGAACCACAAGGTAAACTGCCTTTTATCTGTGAACCTTTGTTTTCCATTTTGTTAGTACTGCTGTACTTACTTCATAGAAAAAACAAATATATATACCCATAGTTCCACTGGATTGGACAATTGTTACAAATTAATTCAAATATAGAATTTTCAGGAAACTAAGTGTCTAGGGTCCAATGTCCTTATAACAAAATTAGGAATTTTTATATAAAGTACTTCCAGAACGATGCGAAAAATTAACCATTTTCTGCAGAGTGCAGTTCTATTTTCATACTTGGTAAATATTATTATAACTCTCACCGGCGGGCAAGACAATATTCAAAAGTCCAATAAAAAGTACACATACAGTATTATCGAATTATTCCTAATTCAGATTGATGAAACTAGACCCAAATAGGACAGCATTTAGAGTAGGCAATGTAGCTTCTATATATGTGTAATCAAATTAACTTCAACATCAGATAAATGTGTGATGTCTGGCTCCATATAGAGAATAAAATGCTGTTCATTTTGCCATAACAGCTTTATCTTACTATATATCCTGCCCACTGTGCATTTATCGGGAGCAAGTCCGTCCATATTTGAAAAAAATGTTACCTCAAACTGTATTTTATAGTGTGTCCATTTGGACTGATTCGTTTTGACTAATGAACTGAGTGGACTCCCAGATGTACTGCTTTGGTTATTTCTGTAAAGGTTAGACACTAACTGGGCAAAGAAAACCCTAGTGGGCAGCCATTCATTCACTTAATCAATTCAGATGACTTTTTTCGTTCAATGACATGCAAGGGAATTCAGAATTGTTAAACCAAAGGTCAGTGCTTTACTGGACAGAAGTCGGAATTTTCAGTTGGTAAGAGACAAGGAAATAAAAATCTGGATCAGTCGTTTCTGTGTGTCGTTTCATTTTGTAGGCCATTTAAACCTTCAAGCAAAAAAACAAAATAGAAATGGGAAATCTATATCCTAATTTTTTAAAAAAAGGATGCAGGGTTATTCAGGATAAGTATTGAACTTTCATTGATTTTGGGTGTAGAACAATCAAGATAAATTACACAGTGCCGATGTTTAAGCTTTTCAGATGCACATTTTCAACAAAGAACATGTGGGACAGCTACCATACCATTTGCCAATTAACGTATTA